CAACGATACGTTCTTTTATTTTTGATTTATTTTAACAGGTATAATATATGGTATGTTACTTATAGTATAGATTTTTTTATTTCTTGACCTAATTTATTTGTTACGTCTTCAGCAATTGTCGCTTTCAGTTGACATAAACGAAATTGATAAAAAGTGTTTTTCGCATTTTATTTTGACTGTTTCTCTTACTTTCGAATAGAAACTGAGCTTTGTAAACTTAAAATGACGGATAGTCAAACTAAAACTGACGGTAAAATGAAACATTGAGTATCGTTAAATGCAACTTTTGAACTAGTTTCAAAAATAGCATTAAAATGATATCATTCACAATGTACTAATTTCCTATACTTTTAGTTGATAAATAACCGATAATCATAACATAACAAATAGGCGCGTGTCAAAAGGTCACCGGCGAAAAAAGAGTGCCGATGAAAAAAGGTCGTTTCCAATTGTATCATATAAACAGTATCAGAGGCAGTATTATCATCTCGTTTATCCCCCGTAAACACACATAATATAAACGGAAATAATCAAATACTAGTCAAAATATTATCGATCGGAGCACCATCTTTATTACATTACATGAAGTAATTATTGATTTTTCGGGGTTTATTTAGAGTTAAATTAGACGCCATTTTTGGTCCAAATTCGTTTTGACATGTTTTTTCAAAGAAAGTGACTTATAAATTTCAAATCTACACGTTTTGAAAAATATACAATATTTAAATATTCTGAGTGTACCAAATTCCAAGTAAAGGTTGAACTTAGGTCGTATTACATTTTTTTTTTATTATTTGTTTGACATCGAGGTTAAAATAAATCTACACGGCACCTTTGAGATGAAATAAAAGGGGGTTATTTTACACGATTGGTTTTTATTGAAAATAATAAATTTATTAATTTTCAATAGTAATGTGACCTAAGTTAGACCTTTATTTTTAATTTGGCCAAAAATTAGATTTTTAAACACTACATATTCGGAAAACTGTCGATTTAACTTTTGGTCTACAGATACACTTTTAATACACAGGGATACCCCGTCCTTAAGTCTTTTACATTTTGATAACATAATTCATGTATAACATATGGGGTGCCAGTTTTTTAACTGAGCGTATAAGACATCTGCAGCATAAATTGAATTTGATTTTTTGTATCTTTTAATTTCTCTGTCTATAGTTGCATAAACACTATCTTCTTTATTTTGAGAATGTCCGGTCATCAAAAACTTATATGTAATGTATTTTATATTAAATGATTTATTGCAATCAGGTAACTAGCGAAGACAAACTGATTTTTGTTTTGGCTAGAACAATTATCTGAGTAAAAGACCATTTTTAATCCATCTGCAGTATCAGTAATCTCATATCTTCATGGCCCCCACAGCCCCCTCCTGGAGCCGCCCTTGAAGAAGGAGGATGATTCTCCAACAGAACATGGTAGTATGGCTTGCATGTCATATACTATAACTTTTGTTCATTGTTTTTATCTGCATCTTTCTCTATTCTGCTTAAATCCTTCTCTCTTATGTGAATTTCATATTTTTCCGACACAGCTTTTTTCTCTTCTTCGCTACTATTGCTGTATTACCAACACAATTCGCACTACTCTTTTTTTTTGGTAAATTAACCTCATTGTTGGATTTTTTTACTTTTCTTTTTCTGGCTGTTTCTTCGACAGACACTTTATTTTCAATGTCTGACTCACCTTCTAATTGGTATGTAGGATCACCTACGATATCATCGCTGCCATAAGGAACTGACATAGATAAGGACTTCGAAATGGAGGAGGAACTGACGAAGATGAGCTACTCGATGATGATGTTGAACGCCTACGACTTCTATTCTGTGGTTTGGTATTTTGTAATATTTAAGTACTGACTTACCGGCAACACTTGTGATATTATTATTAAGGACATCTTTGGAAAACCCTTTGGAAAACCCTTGAAAATTGAGAATTGTTTCCTAAAGAATGGGAAACAAATTGTTAGAAATCAAATTAGTTACCTGCAACCACTGTCTCCTGAAAAACAATATTTGTCTGTACAGGAGTTTCAAATATTTGAATATTTGGAGGTATATCAGTGTTTGTCTTATGGGTGACATATGTAATATTATTTGGGGGGACATTAGCAACTTCTTGAATCCCAGGATATCCGTTGTCTAAAAAAATTGTTTACTTTTTGTTTGGTTGAACAAAAAAAAAATTATTACCTGCAAACACTGCCTCTTAAAGGTCAGCAAAATTTGAAGTATTTGAAGGTATATCACTGGGTATTACCACGTTTTTCATAATTACCATCGTCCTCTTCTTATAAGACATTGTATACTCTTGTCTGTCTTAAAACAAAACGACCTCTTTTATTCACACCCACGACTTAAAAATGTGATACATATAATTATTTGGAAATTATCAGAAAAGAAAGTAACAAAACATATAAAAATACTCATTATAACTCGTAATAATTTGTTGAAAAAGGTTATAATTAGATATATCACTTTATTGAATAAAAACATTTAAAAAATAAAAGTAAAGGACCCCGCACTTTTTACATTGATTTTGGGTACTGACAGAATTTGTTCAAATTTTAGTACTCTTCAGGTCATAATGGACAACTTTCTTATGGACATTAAGTTTGCAGCTCTACAGGGTGAGCTGTCAGAAGGACAAAAGTAGGGATTGCAGAATTCATATTTTCATATATATCTTTACCACTCTTAAGTAATTCATGTTTTATTCGTGAAACTTATGGCATGAGTTACACTTGTATGTGGTTTGTTAATGCCTACTGTCACATTTTAAAATAAATCATACAGAGTGTTTAAAAAATAGAAATATTAATTACAGAAATAAGGTGCATTTTCATGTATTACCATAATTATAACATGACTTCTGATCACTTATTTGTTATATTAAATACTAGATAATATTATTTATTTATACAGGGTGTGACAGAAAGACAAATAATATTAATATAAAAATATTACACTTTCTTTACATAGATTTTTAGACTTCCACTAAATTGTAAATCCATATAAAAGAAACTACATTTTTAAAAAACCTGTTTTATTAAATATAATAACTATTTACACACCTTCAAAATCATCTTTCAACAACATCTAAAATAGTCCTTAATAAAACACTTAAAGTGTACTTTATATAATTTTCGAATCGTGCAGATTCCAGGTAACACAAAACACTTGAAATATGAGCACACATGCGCATATAGTTCTTGAATCAGTCTTACATTTTCAGTAATATCTAGTAATGGAATTCTCTTGAATTTTATTTTATAAATAAAGTGTGCTTCACATTATTCGCAAATATCAAATATATTGCAAAAAGCGAAGGCACCAAAGATTCACAACATCTCAGATGCATCCGATATGGATAAACAAACGCAGCAAATGTAGTCTGAAATTGCAAAGATAAAAACATGTTAACCCTATCATGATAATTTAGCTGTTATTTAATCTAACACTCGCCAACCTTTTATCTTATAGAATCCTTTTATAATTATTAATCTGATTAATATACAAAGAAATAAAAAAAAATTATGTTTTAGGCTTAAAAAATAATTTATATCAAGATAAAAGTATATAGTGGTATGGAATAGATAAACAATAATTGGCAAGGATTAAATATCAAAAAACTGTAAAAGTTTTTTTTATGTTTTAATTTAACTAAAATTAACCTACTAAATCCTCAAAAATAGAATTATATTTAGAAGTGATAAGTTGAAAATCAGAAAGGGGGTTTCAATTAGAATGTCTCTACATTTAAGTAGGCTTAGAACGGGACTTGGTTAGATAAACAGAGCTATGGTTATAATACGAGCAAAACTGAATTCGTTTCAAAACTTTATACAATATTTTAGGTATACCAATTTTTCGTTAAATGCATTTTTGTAATTCTTAGTTGTTTGTGTAGTTTTATCACACCCTGTATTACTTATAAAAATTATCTAATATGAAATGAAATAAAGAAATGGCCAGAAGTCATATTTTAACTATGGTAAAACATGTAAAATGCACCATATTTCAGTAACTGATATTTCTAATTTTTTGAACACGCTGTATAATTTATTTTGCAAAGTGTAAGTAAGCATTAACAAACTATATACACATGTCATAAGTTTCATGGAAAAGACAAGAAATACTAAAGAGTGGTGGAGATATATTTGAAAATATTAATTCTGTACTCCTTACTTTGAATCGTTCTAACAACTCACTCTGTAGAGTTGCCTACTTGAGGTCCATAAGAAAGTTGCCCCTAATGACTTGAAAAATAACATACCTACTAAAATTTGAACAAATTCTGCCAGTACCCAAAATCAATGTAAAAAGTGCGGGGCCCTTTTGGCTTGTCCTTTATTGAATATAAATAATTTTTAGAAAAAGATTATAATAATCAGATAATATATCCCTTTAGTAAATAAAAAAATTATAAAAATTAAAGTAACATTTCGGCTCGTCACCTTATTGAATATAAATAAATCCATAAAATACAACTTACCTTAGCAAAAATAGAGTTATATGACTAAATTTATCACTTTTTTAAACGGAAAATATCTTCTGCCATGAGAAAATTTGAAATGTCACCTTTCTCCAGAAAATTCGCAACGCGCTCTTCACTAAATACACAGTCAAACTGAGATAACACCATCTTTTTAATACGAGCTGCATGAAATAACCAAATTCAGTAAAGCGACAATATGCCATCTCTCGGTCAATAAGTATAGCTAACATGTAACTTTATTTTCTCATCATAGAATACATTATTTTAAATCGATTTTTGAAAATAACTCTATTTTCCGAAATTTTGACATGTCACCTTCTTCTTCCGGATGCACGATATAGTAATCAGAACAATACGTTTTGTCTTTAGTTAATAAATACTTAGTTGAAAATTGTTTCAGAACAAAATTATTGGTTAACTATTTTTAATAAAATTTCGAAACTAAAATTATTTGCATTATTTACTATAACGCGTTTATCTTTTAGTCAACCAATTAATGAATTTGTCAAAAGTCTATTCTACATTATAAGCCTGACTAATCAATTTGTGGCTTACTATATAGTTCCTGGGCAACTTCTTACGGCAGAGGTGAGTATATGACCTCTAATATTCGAATCATTCACCAAAAATAACCTTTTAAGCGTAGTTCATTCTGCAATGAGACATGGTATTTAAATCATATTTAAAATTTGGTGAAATACATTAATTGACATCATAACTCAGTAATGAAAAAGGGTCAAAAAAATAATTTAAACTGTCTTTATGCAGACTGTAATTGTCTCCGTCTATTGTAGTTACATACTTTTTTACTTTCCTATCTGTATACAGATATAAGTATAGGAATCATGACTTTTTTCGATCTCGAGTTTTCGACGGATTTTTACGTTTTGAGGTCCCCTGAATCCGTTTTGACTATTTTCGCGATGATGTCCGTGTGTGTGTGTGTGTGTGTGTGTGTGTGTGTGTGTGTGTGTGTGTGTGTGTGTGTGTGTGTGTGTGTGTGTGTGTGTGTGTGTGTGTGTGTGTGTGTGTGTGTGTGTGTGTGTGTGTGTGTGTGTGTGTGTGTGTGTGTGTGTGTGTGTGTGTGTGTGTGTGTGTGTGTGTGTGTGTGTGTGTGTGTGTGTGTGTGTGTGTGTGTGTGTGTGTGTGTGTGTGTGTGTGTGTGTGTGTGTGTGTGTGTGTGTGTGTGTGTGTGTGTGTGTGTGTGTGTGTGTGTGTGTGTGTGTGTGTGTGTGTGTGTGTGTGTGTGTGTGTGTGTGTGTGTGTGTGTGTGTGTGTGTGTGTGTGTGTGTGTGTGTGTGTGTGTGTGTGTGTGTGTGTGTGTGTGTGTGTGTGTGTGTGTGTGTGTGTGTGTGTGTGTGTGTGTGTGTGTGTGTGTGTGTGTGTGTGTGTGTGTGTGTGTGTGTGTGTGTGTGTGTGTGTGTGTGTGTGTGTGTGTGTGTGTGTGTGTGTGTGTGTGTGTGTGTGTGTGTGTGTGTGTGTGTGTGTGTGTGTGTGTGTGTGTGTGTGTGTGTGTGTGTGTGTGTGTGTGTGTGTGTGTGTGTGTGTGTGTGTGTGTGTGTGTGTGTGTGTGTGTGTGTGTGTGTGTGTGTGTGTGTGTGTGTGTGTGTGTGTGTGTGTGTGTGTGTGTGTGTGTGTGTGTGTGTGTGTGTGTGTGTGTGTGTGTGTGTGTGTGTGTGTGTGTGTGTGTGTGTGTGTGTGTGTGTGTGTGTGTGTGTGTGTGTGTGTGTGTGTGTGTGTGTGTGTGTGTGTGTGTGTGTGTGTGTGTGTGTGTGTGTGTGTGTGTGTGTGTGTGTGTGTGTGTGTGTGTGTGTGTGTGTGTGTGTGTGTGTGTGTGTGTGTGTGTGTGTGTGTGTGTGTGTGTGTGTGTGTGTGTGTGTGTGTGTGTGTGTGTGTGTGTGTGTGTGTGTGTGTGTGTGTGTGTGTGTGTGTGTGTGTGTGTGTGTGTGTGTGTGTGTGTGTGTGTGTGTGTGTGTGTGTGTGTGTGTGTGTGTGTGTGTGTGTGTGTGTGTGTGTGTGTGTGTGTGTGTGTGTGTGTGTGTGTGTGTGTGTGTGTGTGTGTGTGTGAGTGCGTGTGTGTGTGAGTGCGTGCGTGTGTGTGTTTGTGCATGCGTACGTGCGTACGTGCGTACGTGCGTACGTGCGTGCGTGCGTGAGTGCGTGCGTGCGTGCGTGAGTGCGTGCGTGCGTGCGTGCGTGCGTGCGTGCGTGCGTGCGTGCGTGCGTACGTGCGTGTGTGTGTCGCATAACTCATGAACCGATACACAGAAAAACACCAAATTTTAAACTTAAGCTTTGTTCCAGCGTCCAATGAGCTGACTAGATTTTGGGCAGAGTCGGAACATCTGGGGGGTACTTTATAGGTGATCATTTTTATATTTTATAGAATATATCTCTTATTTACGTTTGGGGAAGAAAATTCTTTAAATAAAAGTTACTTCTTATAATATCTATAATTTTTGCTATTTACAAAATTTTCCTAAAATGGTCCATATTCGAGAAATTTGAGAAAATGTAAAAAAATATTTTTTTATAAAAATTGTTTAAACAAAAGTTGTTTGTAATATATTTTTTTGTAATATAATTTTTATCTCATACATAATTTCTCTTAAATGGACCGTATTCGAGATATTTGAGAAAATGTATAAATTTCCAAATTTGAAGAAAACTCAAAAACGGATAAAGAAAAAAATATTTTTTAAACTTAAGTTTTATTTCGGCCTGACGTGAAATGATTAGATTTTGGACAAAGTTGGAACATTTGGGGGGTACTTTATGGTAGGCCGTTTTTATATTTTATGGAATATATCTGTTATTTATGTTTAGAGAAAAAAATTGTTTAAATAAAAGTTACTTCTAATAATATTATCTATAATTTTTGGTCCATGTAAAAATTTCCTGAAATGGTCCGTATTCGAGAAATTTGACAAAATGTGCAAAATTCTGATTTTTATGAAAATTGTTGAAATAAAAGTTGTTTGCGATATCGATCTCTATAATTTTTGTTTATACATGATTTTTCTAAAATGGACCGTAATGAAAAAATTGTAGGAAAAGTGCTAAATTAAATTTTTTCAGTATTTTCGTTTTCAATGAATATCTATAGAAAAATGTTTCAAGGTAGATGTATGTGAAAAATGTATATATTAAGGTTATCCTCCTCTAAACATTTATAGAGGTGCTGCAATAGGTTGCAGAAAATAACCGGAAAAAGCCTGTAATAACTAGATAGGAAAGTCATGTGTTGGACACATCAGATTTTTTTGTGCTGTTAAGCAAAGTTAAAGACTCTAAAATAAATGAACCACTGTAGTTTTATTTAAAAACTTTTTGAGCCTGGAAAATAACAAATTGAAGTAATTTAGAAAACCGTAAATCTTTGATTATTGTAATTTCAAGAGTGTGTCGGTAACTTTAGTTCGGACGTTCACTCTAAAGCAAAAATTTATCTTTTTAGGCAGAAAAAATGGAGAAAGTAGCTTTTGAAAGCCAATGGTATAGAAATTTAAAATTCAATAAACCAATCATTAATATGATCAGCTGTATGGGCCAGAGAAAAGTTCATGTTCATGCTTTTAATGTTATAAATTTGAGTTTCGCGAGCGGACTACAGGTAAGGGTTTTGAAAAAAGAATATATAATTGTATTTATGAATTTAAAGAATACTCAAAATATTCTGCAAAATAGTATCACTCATGTTGTTTTCTGTAACTAATGCCTCATCAGGTCTATTGTGCATCATCCTAAAATGATATTCCTGTCTTATTAGCTCGTCGGCGAGCATACAAATTTGATGTAGTTGGTAACATCGTCGATAGATGCTTCTCTTATGTCGGCCGGTTTCGTCCAAGAATGATGTTCTCCTTGATGAGCAAAATCAAAGTAGAGAGTGTTGAAAATTAATTTCTATCTCTACTGTTTTTCCTTCGGATGTAATTCAATGCCTGTTGTGGTATTAGCCAAAGGAGTAGTTCTTTTTTTGAAGGGGAAACGGTCGTTGTATTTTATGTGATATTCTGGCTTTGAGCTAAATTCATTTTATTTCATTTTTATAATTCGTTTTTGAATAGTTTCAAGGGTATTTATATAGGTACGTGCAGCTGCGCCCCATATCGGAATTCCATACCTCAGATGGCTTTCAACAAGAGTGAGATAAAGTTGTTTTAGATATCTAATAGGTATGTTATGTTGAGAATGGTGTGTTAATACACTGCGACCTAAAATATCTATTGTGCCCCCTTCTGTCGCCACTGCACTAAGGAAATGTCTCAATGCCTATAGTGACCCTTCCAATCCTATTTTCTCAAGGAAGTGTAGGATTTGAAGTGGCTTCAAGTTAGATAAATCTCCCTCTTCTATTTGATATCCTCCTAGATATAGTGCCTTTGGATTCTGGAGTGCTACACATTCAGTTCAGAATGTGAATGGATGTTTCGTCCGCCTCCTCACAGACTCTGCACTAACTATCCTCTACTACTCTCAGTTTACAGTTTACATCTAATAGGTAAAAACTCTTTTAGATGTTTAAAAGTGTAAATAATTTGCTGCAATTTTTTTACTACCTGATTAATATGTTTATCCCACCTTAAGTTACAATCGAAATATATCCCCAAATATTTCATTTCGACATCCGATGTAATGCCAAAATTTTTTCCATTAATTTCAATGTTAATTTGTTGAAAGTCTGTTACTCCACTGGCGTTACAACTAAAAGGTAAACATTTGATTTTATTTAAATTCATTGTTAAGAGCTTATGGTCAAACCATTTTTGTATTGCTTTAATGTCAGTGTCTACTTTTGCTTTGAGTTGTTGTCAAGTGTCTGCTGCATAAAAAATGGCAGTATCATCTGCCTATCCTATGATTTCACCAGTTGTATCTAAGTGAAAGAGCTCATTCACATACAGATTGAACAAAATAGGCCCTAGGACTGTGCCCTGTGGTACACCATATTCAATAGATGCCTCTTCACTCATGTTATCCCCTACTCTTACCACTTGGTTTCTTGTGCATAGATAACTTTTAAAAGAGTTAGAACGTTTCCCCTGATCCCCACATCTTCTAGGGTTTGGATTAACAACGGATGACTTACCGTGTCAAAAGCCTTACTTAAATCTATAAATAGGCATAGCAAGGTTTCCCATTTTCCAGCGATTTGTATATATTTTTTGTTAAATTTAAAATAGCGTCCACAGTTGAGGTCTTTTCTTTGAATCCATATTCTTTATTTAACAAAAGATTGTATCTATTTATGAATGATGATAGCCTATTTTTTATAAGTTTTTCAAAAACTTTAGCCAGATGACTAATCAATGATATTGGTCTATAATTATCAACAGATGTTCTATCTCCATTTTTATAAACAGGTACTACAATAGAGCTTTTTGAATGCATCAGGCCATATTTCCTTTTCAATACTTTTATTTATTATGTAAGCTAATGGATCTGAGATATGATAGGATACTTTTTTTAAAAGCTCTGATTTAATTTCATCAATTCCTGGAGATTTGTTATTTTTTAAAACATTAATGAGATTAAATATTTCCTTAGAATTTGTAGGTGTTAGTAGCATTGAGTTAGATAAAGTGTTTGATTTGCATTTATACTTAGCGTCTTTTTCAATTTTTTCTGAAAGTGTTTTCCAGAAGTTGACAAATTGTTTATTAAATTCGTTAGCTATCTGATGTTAGTAGTTAATAAAACTCCAGTATCGTTAATAATTTTTTCAATATTACATTTTTTTAGTTTTCCTTTCGCAAAGTCCTTGTACCGTGTTTCACAAATATTTTGAATTATTTTTATTTTTTTCAAGTTGTTCTTTATAATAATTTTGTTTATTTCTCTTTAATTCATTTGTAAGTTTATTTTTGAATGACGTATATTCGTCTTTTAATAAAATATTTTCAGGATATAGGATCGTTTTTTATACATTTTATTCTTTTTATTAATTAACTTTAAAAGGCTATTTGTGAGCCATGGTGCAAAGCTAGTGTTTTTTCGTGTACATAGTTTTTTTGTAGTACAATGTTTCAGCATTGTTTTAATTTCCGTAATAAAAATATTTGCTGCAATATTTGGGTCCTCTAGTGTGAAAATAGAGTCCCACAAATTGTTCTTAAATAATGTAGTTTAGGGTAATCTATGAATTCTTTATATTTTGTGATAATTGATTTTTTCTTTCATCCTCAAAAACGACTTGCAGAATAATTGAATCATGATCAGTAATGTTTGATTTAAATATTATTGGGATGGTCATATCAATCGACTCATATTTTTTTAGTTTAAGGAAAATGTGGTCTATACAAGTTTTTTGTCTAGTATGTTTGTTTATTATTGATATGTATCCAAATTCAAGTACTCCGTTTTATTGTAATTATTTTCTAAAATGTTTATATTTATATTTTCAAGAAAAATGCTGTATTCGTATTTTTTTGACTGATTTCCTTCAAAATATTCTTGTAAAATTTATAAGAAATCATCAGCGTTAGATGATGGTGATCGATAACAAGCAATAATTAATATATTTTCGTTACCAATTTCTGCTTTTAGGAAGTTTATAGTTCCTTTAGTTATTATAGAATGTTTGAGCCCAGTATATATACCAATCAGTATTGGCACTCTGAGGCGGCACGTTTGATCTTTAAAAGTAGAAATTTTAGTTGACACTTGACGTTTTCGGGATAAGAAAAGTTTTCTTTACACGGACTTGGTATACCTGGTTAGTTGAATTTTTGGTCTGCTGCTTTTCAAATTTGTGTGTATGAGCGAGATGTGAGATACCTTTATAGACAACGGTTGAACAACTTAATTACTTTGAAGAAGAAAATAGATTAGATATCAGGGCAGTCTTCGCAAATGTGAGAAGGCAGAACCGTTTTAAATTTTTTTTATATATGTGAAATATTACTTTTTAGTGAAAAGTTTAATTACTTTTAGTTCAAAATATAACGTTAGCTTGTCAAGGAAAATATATAACACACAAGGTTAGAGTAACAAAATAGAGGTTTTGCTTTATTTCTTAAGAATTACTCTAATCTAAAAGTTTTCTATGTTGTAGAAATTTATTCTATACGTTATTTAGGTACTTACTGCAAAATCTATGTAGTTTTAAATATAAAAATTTATAATGGAGACATATTTAGTGTAGTTTTTTTTTTACAAATATATACTCAGTGACTTGTTTTAGTGAATGAGTTCAAGTATGGCAGGCTAAAATCGTTACTTTTTATTATAAATTTATTTAAAAATGGGAACTATATGTATATGGTTTGCGTAGTTTTTACACTTGTAATAAAAATATCAAAGTTATGTTTATTTGCCATTTACCACACACAGCAAATTCATAGACACAATACATATCACTATTTGACATTCTTATTAAACTCATTAATTTAAAATTAACTTTAAACTGAGTGACTACACACAGAATTGTTTGAAAGCAGCCATAAGGTATAATTTATTTATTGGATACTATAAAAAATTAATAGTAGTTACATGTAGAGTTAAGTAACAAGAACTTTATAAACAAAACATACCTTTATATCTAGTGAACTTAATTTAGTACAGTCCTCAACTTTCTTAGGCTAACATTAAAGATATCTATTTGGACCTCGCTAAAAAACTCATTGGTAACAGCCATTATCTTGTTAAAAGGAAATATACTACTTGGATCTAAACTAAATAATTTTTTGTTACTTGGGATTCTTAGATTAATCTTTGCCACATTAAAATTTATATAGTCAATCAAATCACAATCTTTGTACTTAATATTATTTAAAATAGAGTACAAAATATATCACAGCCTGTTGCTTTCTTCTTTGTAAAAGAGATTTAATCTTAAAACTATAGAGCATAGTTTTATATGAGATCTTATAAAGGTACAAGTATTTTTTATGGCATAAAGGTACGGTAAAAATATTTTTTGTACTTTTTCAATATGATCAATATGTGTGGCTTTCAAGGGCATCCATATTTGTGAAACATACTCAAGATGGGGTCTTAGTAAGGCATTATATAATCTGATTTTGGTGGTAATTCTAATTTTTTTTTGTATTTCTGATTTAAAAACCCAAAGCTTTTATTGTTATTTTAGTTATGTGTAAGAAATGGTTAATAAACTTCAAATTAGACTGAAAGACAACTCCAAAATCCTTTATATCATATTCAGGATTTAATGTGACATCACAGGTCTTGTGTCTAATGTAAAAAATTAAGAGGCTATGGATCCTTACAACTTAAAATATTCATATGTTTGTAAGTGTTAAATGGACGGATAAATTATAATTACAATTATAATAAGAAACATCATTTTTGATACCTGATAATCAATAAACAATATATTTTTTGGAGTAGTAACAGATTTATTAATACACAACTATTATTTTGTTACAAATATTTATAATTAACATAATAGTTGATATAAGTCCTTTAAAAATAATATATTTTGATTTAATTGTTGAATTTATACATGAGCAATTTTCCTTGTAGCGTTGTTTACATTTTGCAGAGAACTATTGTATTCTGCTTTTAGCTGATAAATCATGTACATGTAAACGTGTTGAATGTAGACAATATTAATGTTTTTGCTACTACTGCTGGCTAGGAATGCTGGGCTGGGACACCAACACAAAAAAAAACGAAGCACAAAGCACTAGATCAGTTTCTATCACTTATACACTTACAATTTACAACCATTCAAGGAACTAGCATGTTGGAAATACTTTACGAAAACATATTAAACATAAATCAGTCGAATGCAATGTATTTTCTTCTTATAAGACACCTTTTTAGCTTGATTACTTCTAGTACTCTATTTATTCCAATGTCCTCAAATATAACGAGCAATAATACGTAACAATAAGGATAAAACACACACTAAAGTGTATTTGGGGTATTTTTGATCTAAATTCACTATCAAAACAACAAATTTTCCGTTTTTAAGCTGTGAATGTATTACAAAAACTTCTTCGATAACATGTAAACAAAAGTTTGTATTTGTGTACGAAATATGGATTGCCTGCGCATGGTAGCGAGTTTTTAACCGGATTTATGACAAGTGATAGGTTATATCCCGAAAACGTCAGCGCAGTAAAAGCTGCGTGTCTTTTTCCCGCCCAGGGAGTGTCATGGGCCTGGTTTGAGTGATTTGATTCTATATGGTTGTTTATTGATAAAGTGGGATCAAATGTAATTCCAAGATGTGTGATGGTAACCGGTCTTTGAAGAATCGTGTTGTTAACGCTATAGTTAAAAGTTAAAGGGAATTGATTCAAGATATAAGACATTACAAAATATTTAGAGGAGATAAGAGGAAGGTTGTTATTGAGACACCACTCCTCAACACGTCGCAGATTATCTGAAAGCCTTTCACAGTCCTCAACCGTTTCGACACGACAGAATAACTTTAAATCATCGGCGTATAGAAGAAAGTTTATATCTAAATATTGCTTATATCATTTATAAATATGTTAAATAATAAATTACCTAGATTAGAACCTTGCGGAACACCAGAAGTTGCCAGATATTGAGTCGACTTGAAACCGTTAATATGAACATATTGCTTTTTGTCGAAAAATAAAAATAAATAAATTTAACAGTGATTGGGAAAATCTACAGCATGAAAGTTTATTTAACATGATACCATTCAAGCCGATCGAATCCGTCTGGATTCTCTTGTCGATATTTTCTGCAATGTACTGTGTTACAGCTATAAGATTGCTAACGGTGGAACGGCCTTTCATGAATCCATGTTGTTCTGTTGATATAATATTACTGAGGTGATGATAAATCTTGTTTTGAGGTAACATCTCGAACACTTTACAGAAATTACTAATAATTGAAATTAGACGATATTGTGCTATGTCCGATTTATCACCCTTTTTAAATACTGGGCAGATCTTAGAGCATTTTCAGATAGATGAGATAGAACAAAATTTGAGACAAATATTTAAGAGAACTTTTAAGGGATGAGCGAGAATTGAAGCGCAGTCTTTCAAAACAAAGGATGGAATATTATCTGACCCCATAGTCATTTTAGGTTTTATTGATTTTAACTTCATCTTCGGTAAAGGAATTTATGTTTAAATTTGATACATTTAGGGGTCTATTCTGTAACAATTCCTTATATTTAACGGCCTTTAAAAATATTTTCTTCTTTACTTCTGTCATTATTTAAACGGATCTTTAAAATACATTAGAGGACTATCTTAAAGAAATCTGTTTAAATAATGACAGAAGTAAATTAACGAATACGAAAATGTTTTTAAAGGCCGCCAATATTTTTAAAGGCCGTTAAATATAAAGAAATTGTTACAGAATAGACCCCTTAATAGGTTAACTTCGGAATTTGGCTCAGTAGAATCAGTGTAAGACTTACAAAAAAGGTCAGCAAATCTGTTAATAATTTCAGTGATATTCTCAAAGTAATTTTTATTGTAGTCCATTGTGCTGGGCAAACGAGTCAACTGTGTTTTATTTAAAATAAATGACCAAAATTTGTCGGAATTGGATATTTCGTCTTCAGATTTTTTAATAAATTGTTTATCGGCCACACTTATATCACTTTTTATGACTGTCATTGGGGTCCTGAAACACTTCTAAAAATTGCCAGTCAACTTTTGATAAGTCATGGGTGATGGGTGATACTTATCTTCCGCAACTAATGGATCCAGAGATCTCTCGACCAAAATAAACTTATTACATAAAACTAAGTCTAAAATTTTGTGATATTCATTGTATACAAAATTGTTCTGTGATAATGCAAAGAACTCCATGAAATGGGTTATGTAATGAGATATGTCTATCACAAAAGGTAGAATTACGTAGGTGAGATGCATAATCTGTATTATTAAAGTAACCTACAACCAAGAATGACGCATTATATAAAAAATCTAAAGTTTCAAAAAAGTTTTCGTAATCTGTAGTTTTAGGGGGTATATAAACATTAACAAAATATGTAGAACTAAAATTAACTACTAACTTGACAATAACAATATCAATTAGACCAAACCTAGGAAATGAATAATTCGAAAGATTAATTTGACATGATGTTAGTACACCTCCACCTCTTAGAGAATATTGTCTGTCCGATCTATATACACTAAAGTAACCTGGAAATAATTCAACATTTTTGATCGATGAGTCAAGCCATGTTTCTATTAACGCAAAAACTTTATATTCACTTTGAGACAAATGATTATAAACCTGACTAGTTTTTGAACGTAAACCTCTAGTGATTTGATAAAATATGAAGATATTATGTATACTATTTACATTATTGCTAATAAGTTTAGGATCTAAATACTTAGTTACAAGGGGCGGCGCAAAATTAACTGATGATTGCTATTTAATCGCAAATAATTGAGATTTTAATGTTTCAAGAGAATTTTTATATACCGTACATTTTTCTTGCTCCCAAACAGCATGATCGTTAAGAACCTTACGGTCTCTTAGATTTATGCATGCAACATTTGTGATGTTTTGATTTACACTCTTTGATGTAATGATTTTCAGCACATAATGGACACACTTTCGGCTTTTTACATTTTTGTGAGGAGTGATTGAATTCAATACTGTTAAAGCAGCGTAAAACTTCAAGAGCGTCATATTAACACACAGCTATGTTGTCTTGTGACTAAAACATTGATGATAATCTGATCATTTCAATAATTTCCGTGTTTAAATTGTTTTTCCTCACTTCACAAATAAAGTATAGAACCATATTTGATGTTTTTGTCAGAATTGAGTCAGTTTAAATAAATACGGTTTTATGCTCTTTTGCAGAATTGCATTTATGGGGAGTCTTCCTAAAACAATATTTTTTTCTTTATTTTTAGGCATACAAAACAATAATTTCATATTATATGTTTTTAAGAACAATGAATAGAGATAGAAGTTGAGAACTGCATCCAAAACATAAATTGTTCAAATTTCGCACAAGTGAAAATATAAGGATTAGTTTGAAAATATACAAACACATTTAATGTACCTACTTAATTTTTTTAATTTATTTTGTAAAAATATCACAATATACTTATAAATAAAGACTTGACGTGTATTTTTTTATCTAGAGAAAATTACCCTACATTCTTCAACAATTCTTTTTTTTTAATGTCATAACGTCAGGAACTATAGCCTAAATCTTATATTTAAAGTATCCTTGCAAAACAAATCTAAAAGTGTCAGTGTAGTGCTTCGTACTACATATTACTCTTCTCTCTGTCATAATTACGTTGATAGATAAATGTTATAACCTTAAACCAGTCATCTCCACTTTGTCATTTCGACGTTTTATTTTTGTTATGTGAATGGCACTTTAGAATGTTTCGTGGTGGCATGAGACTCAATCCTGTTTCCTGCCAATGTCATAGAACTTCAAAGTTGATGACATTGGAAGTCACATCTGTTTTTGATTTGTGGTGTAGTAGGTGGAAAAACAATGGAGTGTGTGGTAGATAGCTGTGGAAAGAAAAAATATTGTAGTGCTTCGTACTACATATTACTCTTCTCTCTGTCATAATTACGTTGATAGATAAATGTTATAACCTTAAACCAGTCATCTCCACTTTGTCATTTCGACGTTTTATTTTTGTTATGTGAATGGCACTTTAGAATGTTTCGTGGTGGCATGAGACTCAATCCTGTTTCCTGCCAATGTCATAGAACTTCAAAGTTGATGACATTGGAAGTCACATCTGTTTTTGATTTGTGGTGTAGTAGGTGGAAAAACAATGGAGTGTGTGGTAGATAGCTGTGGAAAGAAAAAAGAAAGAGCAGAACACCAAGAGACAAGAAACATCAACAAATTATTATTTTTTGATTTTTATATTTTTTCGAAGTTACGTGTTCTTGGCCTTTTAATAAAAGAATTTTAAAAGAGAATTTTAATTATATAGTTATTTTGTTACAGAGAATACCTATAGTCAGGTCCAACGACTGCATCATAATAGTGTGCAGGAGCACCGTCTTGTTGAAACGTTATTTCCAAGTTACCAAATTCATCTAAATTATCCTCAAGAATTTCAAGAATTAACGGCCTAATTGCGTATTGTACCATTTCCAGATATTCTTTAATGGCAAAGTTAGAATGCAAAAAAACAGACCCAAGTATGTGGTTTCTCAAAATACCTGCGCCGACATGTTTTTCACGAAACAGGTAAGGATTTGTGTCACTTCAATACCTTACAATTTGAGTGTTAACATTTCTATTGAGGATGAATGTACTTTCATCACTAAAACAAATTTACATAGTCGGTCTGTTGTAATTTTTTGAATGATTATTGTTCAAATTAGGAAAGTAAGTTTGTACAAATACCTCTACTTGTTGAAAGAGTATATTGTGACTTACATGCACTAGATATCGTCTTCACACTTGCATTGCGTCACTTGCGTCACACGCGTCAAATACGTCAATAACACCCGTTACCGCTTGATCATGGAGGTATAATACTAATGGAGATGCCATGAGGCAATTGTTTTGCATATGATACGTTTTATTAAAAATGACCCCACTGGGCGTGGCTTAAAGGGTTGACTAAGCAGGGTCGTATTCAAATATAATTAAAGTGCGTATGCAGAATTACAACTTTTAAATGACTTACTTACCTAAGATTTGTTTCAACATGATCGATTCGAAATGAATTTGATGACATTGTCCAATTATGACTTGTACACTATTTACTATTATTTATTAACCGTTTTCCGACCAAGCCGATGCCAAGATCATAAAAGAGATTAATATTATTATATTGTTCTGTCTTCGCCGAACCCGTCCGATATATGACCTGTGTGATCGAAAATCAACGTTCGAATAACACTGTGCATCAGATTTGTTAATCTCTTTGTGCTTTAAAACTAAATCCCGAACTACGATTTTTCGTTCAAGGACTCTCTTGTCTTGATCAAAGCTGCCAATGTCAAAATCTGACAATGAGGAGAATTACGACATCAAATTACCAAACCAAACGTGAATTGTGAATAAATATATTTCAGTAAAAATACAGCCGAGTTTGTAGAAAGGACAATTAATTACTTTTAAATGTAAAACATGTAGGTCTTTCTGCTGCAGATGACATACATTAAAAATATGACCCGCTACAGTCAAAAGTTTAAAAAGACCAAAAATTCAGCTAGGTATGACTTTATGGTTAAAAGTAGATGGAAGAAAACCATGATCAAAACTACTCTGTCAAAACCAATCGGAACTAAAAAGACTCAGATAATAGTTGTTGGTTTTATTTATGTTTGAAATAATTAATTATATAGGGTAGGTACATATATTACTAGAATTGCAAGCAACTACTTACTAAAGATTTCTATAATTGGTACCTATGTATAATAAACAACAATCTCACAGATGCACAGCATACAACTATACAAATGGAATTATAGAGATAATTTATTTTAAAAATAGGCATTCAGTTGCGATTTGTGATTACAAAAAGAAAACTTTAACCACTTTTTCTGATCAGTAATGTTAGTGTTATAGTGAAAAAGTTTTTAGAAACTGGTGTTTTTAATACTAATAATGCATTGTGAATTTCCAAGAAAAGTGCATGATGAAAATTGTTTTTACCAAAATTTTGAATGTCATGCCATTTAAAAAGAAACCCTTTGGCTGTGGATAACATTTAACACAAAATCTTATCCTAAAAATAACTGTTTGGTTGTATTGGAGGAATAATTTCTTTATTGGTACTTTTTTAGAGTGCAAGGATGACTTGACATTACTAAATTTAAACCTTTGTTATAAGTTGTCTTTTTGCTTTAATTTCTGATACACCTGTATTGTACATACTTAGAAAATATAAAATTGTTCAAGTGGGAAGTTTATATACAAGGTGTCTCATTGAGAAAGGGATACAGAACAACTGAAGAGTCTGATAAGACTATGCTTAGAATGCGAATATTCTTCATTTTAATTTTGAAGTTTCTTATAATTTCCCAACAAAATTACCTATATGATTTACTTAAAAAACATCAAAAATATATAATTATAGTTTAAATAAGTGTAACGTATCTTATGACACCAAAAACTTTTGCCAAATTTGGTAAAATTATAGGTAACTCTTCAGTTTTTCTGTGTCCCATTCTTAATAAGACACTACAATTTTTTTTTTTTATTTAAAAAAATATTTATTGACCTTTAAACAACACTATTTTGTTGTTTTGATGTCTTATGCTAGCAGCTTTATTAACTCTAGTTTTAGTGAGATATGTTAGTCGGATACTAACATATTTATCAACTATGCACTTGATTAATAATATTCTATGATTATCCAACACAAACTGGTCCAAACTGTGCTGCATAATATTCGAAAAGACATTAGAATTTATGAATTCTTTTAAAACTAATGTGCTGATGATATCAACTGATATTTTTTTCTTAGAGTCTTACATAATTTATAATATTTTTTCACATTTTAAACAAATGTTTATTACATCTTCCGATGGATATTGCAAACCATTTTTATTCTTTATATCAATGAATGAAAATAGAAACAAATCTCTAGTTTCACTTATTAAAGCATCTAGACATTGTTCACAAATGATTTTCTTTTTTAAATAATAAACAACATATGCAGAAATGTAAGTGATTATATATTTAGAAAAGGAGGAGACTGGATCTGGTAAATAATCATGATCGTTTTCAATAACATTCATTTTCTCAAAATCGTCAATATTATCAGACATTGCATATTTCTTTGAAGTAACATTTAACTGGCTTGTTATATTGCACTTTAAAATAGTTAATTCCTCCAAAGAAATACAATTTCCACGGAAACTATCTCTTAATTCAACATGAACTAAATTTTTTTTATGTGCACACTGAAATTGCCTGACTGTAGGATTATTGTTAAAACCTCCATGAGACCGTATTGAACAAAAAAATAATTCTAAATTGTCTTGTGAAATTTTGTACAAAGGCAAAAATTTTAAAAACTTATTTTCTACAATTAAATTATTGTATAGTAATTTTAGGCTAGCAATGCATATTTTTAAACCTAGAAAGCCAGTGGATCTATCAGTTTCTAATAGAAGTTTACCATCAGCATGTGTTCTTAGAGAACTAATATATTTATCGACAGAGTCAAGAAAAATACATGTATTATTGTAATTGAATTGCAAAAGATTTCGTGAATTCAGGATGTCAAACAGAATGTTCATTTTTCTAATAAAATTAATTGTCGCCCCAGCATTTTTAAAATCTTCAATATGTAGAACGTTCGTACAAAAATCTAAGGCAGTTGCGACGTTTTCGCTAAATAGTTGGGTTGCAAGACGAACTTCCATTTTTTGTTTTTTAAAAGCTATATGTTGCGAGTTTAGCTTATTTGCTAAGTGGAAAGATTCATTTTGCTGTAATTCGTAAAGTTGTTTGAAATACTTCCACTCAACAATTTTATTTTCTTCATTTACAAATGAATACTTTTCTGCTAAAGTATCTCTAATTAACTTTAGCATATGTGGCGGATCTAAAAATATAACAATTTCTTCATTATTTGATGGATGCTTGAAACTAGTTTTTGAAGTTGTATGATGTAAATTACAGCCCAAGAGTTTGGCCATTGTTAGATTATTAGAAGCACCATCAAATGTTAAACTTACAACACTAACACCTACTTCATAACATTTCTTTAAGCATTCTAATACCAGCCCTTTTCTGTTCACCTGTCATACTTGAAATTAAAAAATATCCTACTGGAATTTTCTAGCTTCCATTTACACAATTTAATAAGAAAACAAGAGCATTGTTTGCAAGCGTAGTTTCATTTGCACCCGTTCCTGCATCTACATAACCATAACTTCTACGTTCGCTTCCAACAAACTCCTCATGTTGACGAATGGCCATTTCATCCATAATAAGTGCACACATTATTTTTTCATTGGAAGAATTTGATTTAATCTGTAGGGCATTAAAAGCCTCACTTATGAATCCAGGCTCACCTTTTATACTTTGATACCATCGACTGATTGTACGGACATGTGGTA